TTGCTTTTGCTTGCAGGGCGGGTAGTAGAGCACACCATAGCTTCGACGGAGACACTACGAAGTCCGAGGAAGCTGTAAAGTGGGCTGTCTGTACTTATGCGTGCGCCAGACAACCTCTCGGCATCACACTCCACCGAATCGCTAAATTTCCGAAGAGTGGACAGAGTCCGGCTTGAGTCGAAGACCGCCCCGTTCCAATGCCCATGCCCGCAAAATCCAATAAACCTCCAAGTGAAGGGCATCTCAAGGAGATTCTCTTGGTCGCCCTCCTTGCGCCATCTGTCGGCCTGATCTACTGCGGATAATGAAGACAGCTCGCGCCGGATAGACAACCACGGGGTGACGTGGACACGAAAGTGGTGAATGAACGACTGACTCAACGAACGAATGAAGGAATGAACGAAAGAACGAACAAACGAACGAGGGAAAGGAAGGAAGGAATGGATGCGTGTATGAATGTCTGAATGTACGAGCGTATGAATGGATAATTGCATGAAGGAAGAATGAATGCATGAATGTATGAACATATGAACCCATGGACGAATAAATGTTTGTTGAATGACTGACTGACTGAACGAACGAAGGAATGACTGGATGCATGTATGCATGTATGAACGTGTATATGAACGCACGGAGCACGGACGTATGAACGTATGAATGAACGAAGTAATGAATGAATGAATGAATGCATGAATGATGGATGAATTAACGAAATAATGAATGAATGAGTGCATGAATGAATACGCCCACGAATCAAGCGACCGCATGGACATATGAAGGAAAGAATGATCGATTGATTCACGGACTGACTGACTGACTGACTGACTGACTGACTGACTGACTGACTGACTGAATTTACATGTATGTAAGTATGTATGTAAGTATGTATGTATGTATGCATGTGTGCATAATACATGTATGCATGTATGTATGTATGTATGTATGTACGTATGTATGTATATGTATGTGTATATCCATATGCATATGTATGTGTATATACATATATGTGTCTGTATGTATGTATGTATGTATGTATGTAGGTAGGTAGGTAGGTAGGTAGGTAGGTAGGTAGGTATGTATGTATGGGCGCATGGCCGCATGTATGTATGCATGTATGCATGTATGCATGCATGTATGTATGTATGATGCATGTAAGTCTTGTGTCGCAAAAACAGCTACTTTGATCCAATACCGCAGAAGCCACTGAATGAGAACTTTGCTGGCGTTTTGGATCTTTTTGGTCTCGTCGCACCGGGCAAAAATGAGTGCCGGCACTGGGGTCCGAAGCGGACAAAGCTGAGCCCAAGAAGCTCGCCTGCCTTCGACTTCAAAAGTGCTGCAAAGGTCCATCGAGGCTCTGGGAGATTGAAAAGCTTAGGGCCGTTTTTTGGGCTGTTGGTTTTGGGACCTTTGGGTTTAGAGAATAGCGAGAAAAAGGATCATGAAACTGTACATGATGAATCATGCTCCTGCGGATAGAAAACTCCGACTTGTTGGCGAAAAGCATCCATGATCCGGAGCACTGCCAGGCTCTCGTCCAGCGGGTATTCGTGACATTCCAGCTGTCCTGCCTTGAGACAAGCCTCTACAGCTTCAACTTCATAAACCATTCCTTCCGAACATGGGTAGTTGACCGTCAGCCCATGTTTTAGCGAGGGCAAGGGAACTGTGTATGTCTCAGGCTCAACTTTTCCTCGAGCTCCGTCTGACCTCGAGACTGTCACGGACGTTGGGGTGTGAGCCGGACCCTCAATCGTGAGGTACCCGCCGTCAAACATGATGCAAGCCCTTTCTGGCGTTACGGCCCGAAGAGTGTACATTAAGCTGGCAGTGCCCGAGTCCTTCCAGCAGATTGAACAGGACCCCTCAGCGTCCACTCCCTGCTCCGTCAAGACGGCGGTGCCCTTCACATCAGCCGTGGCCATCCCAAAGATCATCGTCGCGAGCTGCACGAGGTAGATGCCGATGTCTAGCATGCCACCCCCCGCCTGGTTGGGGTCCCACAGCCGGTGCTTGGCGTCTGATGGGCCCACAAAGCCGAAGTCTGCCTGCAAGCATCTTGGCTTCCCCAGGCTACCGCCTGCCACGATCTCTCGCACCTTGCGTGTCAAGGGGAAGAACCGGGTCCACATGGCCTCCATGAGAAACAGCCCTTTCGCTCGGGCAGTGTCAATAATCTCCCTTGCCTCTGCCTCGTTGACTGCAAGTGGCTTCTCACAAACCACGTGCTTTCCAGCAGCCAGCGCCATGAGCGCATGAGGTCGGTGCATGGTATGGATTGTGCCGATATACACCACGTCCACAGTGGGATCGGCCACAAGCGCTTCGTAGGATCCGTGCGCTTGCCCTGCCTTGACTTTTGCCGCCAGCGCCTCAGCCTTGGCTACCGAGCTGGCACCAACCGCCGAGATGGATCCACCGGCCATGACGATGCCTGGGGCACTCGACGCACAAGTATGCAAGTATCACCAGCCGGCGAGGACTGAACGAAAGCGGTGCGGCAGGACTAGAAGCTAAACGAGCCCTCGCACGCGTGCACACGGGTATAGAGACGAGCAGATTGCCCCAAAGAGAGAGAGAGAGAGAGAGAGAGAGCGAGAGCGAGAGCGAGAGCGAGAGGGGGGGGGAGTGAGTACAAACCAACGGACAACAAGACAAAAACACAGGGATTCGCACTGCGCAGCCTGATAGAATGTAAGGCCCGAAAGACTGGAGCAAACCACCCTGCCCACCTACATGATAGTAAAACATTATATGCTGTAATATAATATTATACTATATCCGATTAAACTATATTGTAGTATAGTACATTATGGTATATTATGGCACGACCACCACCCGGCCGAGCCTACGGCGAAGTCATTGCAGATTCCACCAGCTCCCAGAATTCCCCAACGCGGGCGAGGTTCTGAAGCCATGGGGCGAAGGCCACGGATGAAGCAAAAGGTGATGTTTAAACCCTGCACCCTAAACGATAACCGCTATACATCCCTAAATTAAACCCTATAAACCCTATGCCCTAAACCCTATACCATAAACCCCAACCCCTCGAAAAAATCGTGGGTCTTGTGAGTGCGAGTGCGAGGTGCTCGCTTCCAAGTCTCTTCTCTGAGCAGGGAGATGAACCGAAAGCGCGCCGGTTGAAATCAAACCCGGCAGAGCGACATATGGGCCGACTTGCATTCTCGCATTGACAGCTTATACTTTGCATACTTGGAAGGAAACGGAGCCCACATCTCATATACTCCAAAAGCTGCAGTAAAAGTTTCTAGGCAACCACACACGCTCGCATGAATCCTGCCCATCAGTGGAAACATAAGCAGACTTTCTCAATTCCCTCGACAGTCTTGGGCAGTCGCTGCTTCGGCAGCCAGTGCGAAGCATTCATCACTCCTGGGGTCTGGTTCAAGGGTTTTTTTGGCTCCCGCATCGGAAGGGGTTCCGTGTTTCTGCTGTTACCTGTGGTAACTGTCCAGCTCTTTCAATGCCTTCAACCAATCTAGTCCTACTAAGAATGCCCTCGGCACCGGCAGTTGCTTCAAACATCTACAAACATGAATCAGCAGGTATGGAAGAACGGAGGCATGCAGTGCAAATGGAGGCTGAAGCCCTTAAGTGTCAAGTTCCCTGCGATTGGGTGCCACATGGTGACATCTGAGCACCTGGCTCTTTTAAGATGATATGCCCACGGACTGCATACTTCGTGGCCTTGGCCAGCCAAGGTAACAACTCAGAAGCACTGGCACCAACTCCCCTTATCCTTCATTCTTTCGCTCTGCATCGCATTCTCGATCACTGGCATGCTGAGTTGGAGCATACGCATCATCCGGGCCGAGCTCCGAGCTGCCACCATTCGTCCTCAATGACTCAACACCCACGATGACAGGTGTACTGCTTCGTCAACATAGTCTGTCGCAACTTGGCTATCTGCACGGAGTGCCTTGAAACCTATTTGAGCCATTTAGTCTGCGCTGCATCTTCTCACCACTTAGCCGGCCTGTTTCCATGTACCCTTTCTGTTAGATTGCAGATGGGCGGCGTCTATCGTTCAGCTCTTCCAAGATTGCAAATGCCTGCTGCACATGCATGCGCTCAAGTGTAAACGCAGAACTTGCAAAAGAGATGGCTGTGCGTGAACGAATCACCAGTGGAAGAAACGTTTTCCATGTGCACAAGGCCAGGCCGCTGCGGTCCTGCGAACAAGCAAGACCCTGAACCCTAAGCCCTGAACTCTCAAGGACTTGCATCTGCTTTTTTGTTCTTTTTCTTTTTTTGTTTTCCGGCCTTGTTGCCTGACTCAATGGCCTGAGTCGCCATCTCCTGCAAGGCAAGGTGGATATGCGCATATAATCTCGCTCATAATTACTCATTTTGACAAGACAAGGAGTAATCGTTCATAGTGCTGCTAGTCGTCGGAATAGTAATAGTAACAACATGAGTAACAGTGATACAGTAGAAGCCATATAAAGTTGGAACATTATAGTCCTCATGCTCTTAAAGAAAAGTATAAGGGCTCCTAGCACAAAGCATCCTAAACCGATGTTCCGACTTTCTGGGGTTTAGGGTAGTAATAAACCTCGAGCTATTCAAAAGCCTGGGGAGGAGCGAGACGAAGCCTGCTACATCCTGCTACAACGAAGGCGTTTGTCGGCTACTGAAGTCTATAAAAGCCTTTTGCAACTGGCTTGCAACGTCACGCGTTGACAGCTATGCAACCCTAATCCGTAAACTGGGCACAGCACCGCGGATATCTGTTGATGCGCGGTCTCCCGGCAGAGCTTATCTTTCAGTACGTACCACTGCCATATGGCCATATGAACAAGAAAAGGTTCCCCGTGTGGAAGCTTCCCTCCAAGACTGCAGATTCCTCCCAAACCCGCGAGGCTGGATTCTTTCATGGTTATGTCGCGCCAGCGGCTGATTCGGAGTTGCTGCGGTCGAAACTGTGCTGGGTGCTGAGTAATGGCATGTAATATGCAGCCATGTTCTGATCGTCAGACTCATGTCGAATATCTTGTGGCAGAAATGCCGTGATGCATCTTTGGGCGGATATCGCAAGGATACATCAGCCTTTTGGGGTTTCCCCGAAACACGAAGCAAGCAGTTGAACGCAAGGACTCCTCTTCGGCGTGCCATCTTGCTACGGAAAGGTGCTCGATGGCCTCCGAAGATCAGGGAGTGTCAAAACGTACGGCCAAGTTTCCCTGCTGCAAGAGAGGTGCTAGGTCCTCTGAGCTCCAAACAGAGTCGCAATGAGGGGCTGATGAGGGGATTCGACTGTGGAGCACCCTTGTGCAGCCAGCCCTGATCCCCGAAGCACTCTGTTTGCTGGTCTAAAATCGCCTCCTCTGAATTCTGCAGACCCACTCGGTTTAATCTGGAATCTGGTGACCTCGGTCAGCCACGACCCCATGCTCAAGCCTCCTGTCGTCGGAGGCCAAGCTCCGTCCAAATAGCTATCGCATCGTCCGCAGCCTTCCGGAGGTCTGCAGCACTCCCCACGAGCATCGCAGTGCGTTGAACCCGGAAGCGCTGTGTTTAGGGCCACGCCTGCTTGCCACCTTCCATCTGGCGGTTGCCAAACCTCGCCTCTGCCAGAAGGTGAAGAGAGCGCGCCTCTGACAAAGCAGACTGGTCTTGAAGGGCCTGGGATCACTTCTGAAACTCCGGCATAGTAACAGCATAAGAACCAGCATTGACAGTATAGCAACAAAATCGACAACTTGATAACCGTAAGGATGAGTACCTCAAAAACTGGAGGCGGAAGCAGCAGCACTAGCAGCAACACTTTGTTGATGATGGTCGGCATCTTTCATCACCGTCATCATCAGAGAAAAGGTGCAACAAACAAGAGCTGTCGCAGTGCTGGCCCAGACACATACATCCGAAGACTCACTCAGTCACTGCCGAGCTCGCTCGCTCCCTCCCTCACCCACGAGCACCAACAACGACAACAAATGATGATGATGATGGTGATGATGATGGAGGTGATGATGATGATGATGATGATGCAGGCGAGGGTGATGATGGTGACGATGTTGGTGAAAGTGATGTTGATGATGACAGTGATGATTATGAGGGTGATAATGTTGATGACTATTATTATATAAGCCTCGGACGGGACGGAACAGCTCCGTTACGTAGTGCAGTTTCCCCTGTCAAAATATGCTGAGACTGGCAACTCTCAGTGAAAACCTTTTCCTAGAACAGAGCTCGGTAGTCAAAGCATTTACTCACTTGCTTGTTGCACCAGCAGCAATCAGTCCTCGGATCGCGAATCCTCGGCATCTTCGAAGATTGCGAGAGCCTCGGGAACAACAGTAGTAACATGCATTCCCGCATAGAACAAGCAAGCAGCATCGAGAAATGTGTGGACAGGTCCATCTCCCAAAGTGAACATGACCACACAATCTCTACCCTGAGTCACTGAGGACGCTTAACTCTCAACTATGCAACTACAACCTTAACCCCAAACCCTGCAAATCCACGCTGGAGCCCTAAACCCTGTAACTCTTAAGCCATGAGCCTTGTTTGCGGCACCTATTGCCTCTTGGAAGGACTTGACCTGGCAGAAACGCGGAACTTAGTTTAGTCGTAGTAGCTTAGTAGTGGTAGTGGTAGTGGTAGTGGTAGTGGTAGTGGTGGTGATGGTGGTGGTGGTGGTGGTGGTGGCGGTGGCGGTGGTGGTGGTGGTAGAAGCAGTAGCAGTAGCAGTAGCAGTAGTAGTAGTAGTAGTAGTAGTAGCAGCAGCAGCAGCAGGAGTAGTAGCAGAAGCGATGGTGGTAGTGGTAGTGGTGGCGGTAGTGGTGAGGAGGCAGAGGGGGAGGGCGGCTCAAAACCAAAAGGTTTCCGAGACTGAAACTGTCCAGAATCAAGTTTTGCGGGGCCGTAGGCAGTTTCCGGGTTGCCAGGTGCCATACAAACTAGAGCTGAATTCGGGATGGGGTCTTGGGGTCTGGGCCGTCTGGGTTTCGGCTGGTGGGCTTCGTTCAAGCCCAGTAACTAATGGGTAAGAAACATGCCCGCCCCTCATAGATGTACAGCTCGCCAAGAACTAGCAGCACGGCACCTGCCGGGCGAGAAACTTTCTACGCAGGCAAGGGGCCCACATGGGTGTGCTCACAGAACAAAGCAGGCAAAGGCACGGATACAGGGCTTTAGGACCGTGCGCAGCAGACCTACGGCACTGAAGGCCCGAAAACAGCGCCACCCAAACGTCCAAGCAACCCTGAAGCCCAACATGGCAACATGTGTAGTGTAGCAACACGATCATAACCGTTGCTACAACACGAAACGCTATCCGAATGACCTGAAGCCAGGACCCTGAGCATCAGGACCAGAGGTGGTGCGGTGGTGCAGCAGAAACTGGCAGTAGCCGCAGGTCCAACAGTAAAACATGCCGAGATGAAGTGCATCGCTGTCTGTCTGCTGAGCATGGTATCATTATCATGTTTCAGCACTTGGCACTTCACGACAAAAACGAGCGGGCCCTCTCAAGCGGACTACATCGTCCGCCCAGCCACAGGCAGCATAGCGAGTGCCCCATCCGAGTGCCAGCGCTTTCCAAAGATGTTTCGCAAAATCCACACTTCCCATGAACTTCCTCGCACTAGCCTGTCGAAATCTCCGGTGGCCGTCACCCGTCACCCTGTGAAACCCCAAACCCTATACAAGCTAGGGCTATCCCTGGCCCCCAACAAGCCTTCCATGGGCTTGTCACTCAACTCCCGGTAGATCTTCAAAGCCTGGCCGAAGCTTGTGTGCAGGAGCATGATTGTCACATTAGGAAGAGGGACGATGAAGTTCATGAATAGCAACAGCCGTTGTCATTGTGATGGCTCTCTTTGGAACCAAACGAGTTCTTCGAAGTGCAATACAGCACAGGCTCACCACAGCTGAATGCTGCATCTGCTGCCCTCCAATCAGGATCTGGTTGCTAGAGTGCAGCTGTCTACGGGCTGGTCGCGAGCTCAGGGGATCGTCTCAAGGAACTTCACCCTGAGCTGAACCCCTTTAGGCAGATGGGGCTCCAGAGACTGAGGTGCCCAATATGAGCGCGACTGCAACCAGCATGATCCTTATGACACGGATCACTTTACCGCAGCCAGAGTTCTACGGACCCCGGCACTGGTCACTGGCCTCTTTGGCCTGTCGAACGCCCTGATCGCGATCCTTGACGCCTTGCACATAATCAGGGCTCAGGTTTTAGGGCTATCTGTGCGCGGAATGCATGGCTGCTTCAAGCGAGCCTGCGAACTGATTTACGATTTAGAGTGGAACATGGACAGCATGGGGGCATGCTGGAAACTCACCTGTATGCAAGACATTGCAAGACAACCAGTCGATGCCGATTGAAAGCCCACGAAAGAAGACCTTGTGTCAAAGACAGCGTGCGGCTTTATGTAGGGGCCTCAATTGGTAGAATGGGGTGTTGCGGTGTATCGTATGCAAGGCTCACTCTGACTCTTACAGTCCAGTGACTAACCGTAACGAATAGTAGGGTAATTCATGGTTGGTGGCCCCCCTACTACAACACAAAAATCTTATAAAACCCTTATAGGCCCCTAATGGTCTTTCAGGAATAGCATTGGTAGTCTCAGTCCCTTAGATTAGCATGCTCCAGTGCCTCGTTTGCCGCTGGTGTTTACCCTTGCCAGGGCCAAGAGCATCGAAGCCTGTGCAGAGTGAAGACGTGGTTAGGGTTTATAGGGTTTATAGGTTTCGGGTTTAGGCTGCGTCCTGCGTAGAGCAGACTGTCGCTTCGGCGCTTCTCGAACTGTCCAATTTCGAGGCTCAAGACTTACGTAAAAGAAAACGACCATGTTTCGCGCCGAGCCAGATGCTTCCCGTCTTCAGGCCTTCAAAGCCTTCAACTCCTAAACTTCGTGAAGCTGCTGTCGAAGCTGCCAAACTCGAGACTCGAGCTTCGACCCTTGCAGCCCTAAACCCCACACCCTAAACCCTAAACCCTAAACCCCAAATCCTAAACCCTAACCCCACCCAAGAAACCCCCAAACCCCTCAAAGGCCTGGCCCCTCTTCTGGCCCTGCTCCCGGAACCAGACCAACTCCTCTGAGGCCAGCCGCAGGGCCTCAGCTCGAGAGGGGTTTCTTGAGGGCTCCTTCAAAAAGGGATCGGCAAGGGTTCTACGGAGGATCTATCAAGGATTTCAGCACTCACAACTGGGACAAGCCGGGCGAAGTATCAAGCGCTTGCGCTTTCGCAACTCGGGCTCCACCAGACAAATTCTCTGTGTCCAACTACGCCATCATGACAACACTTTGACTTGCAATCACCTCTATTCACCTCTACACCACCCAAACAATCATTAAATACCTCTACAGGCCACAAATTTTAAAAAGTACAAGACCTAAAGCACAAAACGATCCCCGTTGACTGCCGTTGTAACGGGTGCTTTGACCTTCCTCATTACACCAAGCAAACTCCGCGGCGGCTGCCATCTAAATCTGAGTAGGTACCCGGGGGCAGCCCCAGCAAAGGCTGACAGGGTGTATGCAGGTTCCGAGTTGATCGTCACATACAGCTACGGCGACCAGCCATCCACGAGTCAGCGCACGCATCCAAACGTGCCGAGCAGGAGGAGGTTGGGCCTAAACTCGGGAGCCCACCTTTCACAACCTGTGTCTGCGCTGCGGCTGTATGATCTGCGCCGTAGCATGGGGGCATGCATGCAGAATCGACTGGAGCTTCGAACCTCAAAAAAGGGTGTTCTTTTTATCGGCCTTTTTCTCCCTTCCATCAGGTCGGCACGAAATGCCCCAAGGGCTGGGCCAGGGTTTAGGGTTCAGGCTTTTCGGGTCTTGCTGAAATGGAAATCCAGACTGTCAGTGCTCGCCGGAGGTGGTGCCGAAGGCTACGACTTTCGAAAAGGCCGAGTCGCCATTCAGGGTATTGGGAGGAGTAGTCGGGCTGTTGAGGAGCATCGAGATGCAATCCTCTTGCCCCACTTCAGAATCAGTCTTCAGAGGTGAGCTTCCCGTTCTTGGCCGGCACACAAGCTCTTGGTCATCCTTCTCCTGCGGCCGATCCTTCGCCTAGATATAACTGGAAATAAAGACGTGGCCTGCACAAGAACTCAACAAATATTCCAAGCCCAACATCTTCTAGCAGGATTTCAACCCATCTCTGGGGTCCGGTCTTCGTCTGGTTTCTCCTGGCATTGAAGTGTAGTGGTTGCGACCCCAAATGTTTCAAGTGCTCGGCAAGTGCGAGCATTGGCGAGCAGCGATACTCATAACACAGCTTGAAAGGCATTTTCGTCATGTACGCACCCATCGTTGTAATAATTCACCAAACAAACAAGCTTTCTCGTGCCACATGAAAACAAGAATGCCTAACCAAAACATCATGTTGTTGAATCTCACCAAATGTGTCCCAAGCGTCAACTGAACAGTTGTTGGCATCCTAGAATCGCGCGGTTACGACCTCCTTCTTGGCGGAGGCGAGCCGCATGGCATCCACCACGACTCGAAGGGAGTCTGACACCTTGGGAGCAAGATGGGCTTGGATGGCAAACTGCAGTGAGTACCTCAAAAAAACGTATTGTCTTCAACAGCGTGCAGCGGGAATGTACGTCCGCTGGGTTGTGAATATCATGTTCGAGACGACATGCGTAGGAGTCGGCCGCCTGCATTTGTACATGACACAACGGCTGTCTGTGGGAACCCCTCTGCTTGCACGAGCATGCGCACCATGCGGTGCTTCAGCATGGCAACCGCAAATGCCGAGCTCAGCTGAGGCATCGAGCTCCCTCAATGTCGCCGAGATCCTTGAACATCTCAAGTGCCTGGCAAGTCCGCCTCCTCTCCTGCTACTCCGAACTTTGCGGTGTATGCCTTGTCTGCAGGACAAGATACAAGTTTGTTTCGCGCATGTGCATGATAATTACAATCCGGTTGCATGCTTGTCGGCACATGGTACATCTTCCCGCCTGTGTGCCAGCCTGGAGAGCAGCATCAAAGTCCTTGCAGAATATGTGCTCAGTAGTTCGTGGCGCCTTCTCTGACGCATGCTCGCAAAGGCCTGTATGTACTCTGTCACTCACGACCTAGGTTCATGTTACACCGGGCATTCTTGCGAACAGGGTCAATGGCACATTCGGCTCAATGCAAGGGCGCGTGCTTCTACCGTACAGGGTTCCAGCAGCCTCTTGCTCTATTCTAGCACATTCTGGATTCTGGACGGCTTGCGATGTCTCAAGCATGAAGTCCTCATTGTCATTAATGTGGCCCTCTGCAACGGCAAAGATCATGGCAGCCTGCGTCAGGCACGTATAAACCTCCCGGACTGCGGCCACCGTGTCTATGCAAGCACACTTCAATCAATCTCCAGCGCCACAACAGAGTCACGTCAATGCCCGGACGTAAACCCCTGTAGCCGACCGCAGCCACCTCCCTTTTCTTCGCCGATTGCTGCGCATCATCTGCGACGGCCTGCAGGCATCAAGCCGCACGGATCTACAGCAATTCTTGCACGTGCTTCTTCATTACATATACTTCCCGCCAACCCTGCACTTGAACCCAGAATCTGAACCCCAACCTGCTGAAGCCCGCACCCCTTATCTGGATCCACATCCCTGCGGTGCACCGTGTATCTCGCCGACAGCGCGTCGGAGGTGGCCGCTCCCCAGGTTTTTCTTTGCTGGGCCTTCAGGTGTGTGTACCTTAAAATCTAACCCAAAACCCTATAACCCCGCAAAGGCGCTCATCTCATGTTCTCAATCTCAAGTCTGAAGCTCCGCTGATCATAGAAGCCCTGCTGGCTATGACTCAAGCTCCGAGCGTTCTTAGCGGTTCTAGTGTCGCGAGTCAACAATTGTGACTATGAGGTTCGGCAGCACTACAGTACTTCCTAAACACTGTGTCGCTGCAGCCGCAGAAGGGACAGCAGCAGTAGCAGTAGCA